ATGCTAATCAGAAATAACTCTGTGGGTTGGATGATGTGGATGTTCACCCAGTTGGCATACCAAGCAGATGCAGATGAGTGGAAAGCTGTCTGTTTCCTGTGCAGACCTTTGATGATGAATGCCAGGCGAAGCTCTTCTGATGGATATGTCTGCTTCCTGCTCAGCAGACCAGCAAAGATGCAGTCAATGGAATATTAAAATCATTATATCTGAAAGAGAAAAAACAAAAATACAGCATTGGAGGTGTAAAATGGTGTTGCGATAAACAGCAGCGGTTGTTTGAAAGAAAACTTAGACTTAGAGTGGATTTTCACAGATAAAGCTGTGGTCATCAGTGATCGTTTTCTCCAACACACCAGTACTCCCATCGGTTGTGACTTCATATATAGTTTAAGAAATATACTGTATGCATACTGGAAAATCTGTCGCAGCAAAAAGCATCACATTTATGTCATGGATGACACCTTGAAAAACTCAAAACATGCTCCATTCCCTCATCGCTTCTCTTAACTGTTATCACTTTTCCCCAAAAGGCGGCTCCTAATGAGCATTACTCCTTTGAAACAAAAAACAGCAGTGTCTCATGATACAGTAGCAATGGTTCGGGCTCCTGACAGTTGACAGGAAGAAAAAAAATAAGAAATGGAATAAAGTGAAGTGCAGTGTTGTGAATTATTTAGTGCAGAGGCCGCAGCAAAGATCTGACTACTTGCTCATTTAGGAAGATTAACAGATGTGGCAAATCACTCTGCTGTCAATCTTTTACAGTTCCGAGCTGAAGAACCATGAATAAATTGGGTTTTATATCTCCAATGGGAGCTATTCTTTATGAGGGTCCTCTTTTCCTCTCTTCCAGTGCAGTACATCTAAAAAAAAAAAAAAGGATGCATTTGTTATCCAGCCCGTTCCCAGGACCATTGTGTTGAATTTTTCTTTGTGGCCTTATCTCACTCATTCAAATTCTGCCCCGACAGCAACTTTTGAATCAGTCTTACTTTCAGTAGGGAAACACATTTGTTCAGTTTCTATGTAGAGCTGCACATAATGAGGAAAATGTGGCCCTGCTGCACAGCAGATAAGAGTGACCTGCACCACACTGGTGAGCTACTCTCCACAGATTGTGGACAATAGACAAACGTCCTCCTCACACAATGATCTCAAAACTCAGCATCTATGTTGTCCTATGCTGCCGAAACTTAACTTTCATAGGAAGCTTTTTACTTGGTCCCACCTCACTTCTTACACCTTCACTCTTTATAAGCTGTCCTCAAGCAGAGCAGCACTCAGACCCAATGAAGATACTTTCACACGGACATTAATCTGCCACTGGCCACAGTCGCGATTCATGGCTGCAGATATACGCTCCAAAGGAGAATGAGGACTCTCCCTCACCACTTTCACTCCCTCTCTGTCTCTCTCTCATCTCTCGCTCCATCTCTGAGACACTGTTTGGACAGGAAGCTGTGTGCTCAGGGAGCCTGTTGTCTTGTTAAATGGTACGACTAAGGAGGAAATGGATAACAGCCAACCTTGATAATTTTACATCCTCTGCCTCAGACGGCAGATTGAATCAATGTGAATGATTTTCCTCAAAGGCTCTTCTCTTCTCCTTCTATGCTGCTTTATAAGTTAGAGCTGAATTCTTTGTTATGTAACAAACAAGGGTCTATAGCCCCCATGAGCAGCTGTAAGAATGTGTACAAGCTTTGATCTAAATGTTTTTTTCATCATAATCAAAATGTTACTGCTGTAAGGATGTTTGGTACTAAGAATACTTGCTAATTAGTACTTAACTCCAAGTCTATAGCTGAGATTGATTGATGATCTGATGATGGTGCTTTAGAGGAAGACTCTGGGGTTTAAGTAAAGTTTTTATGTTTCACCTTTAAGAAGTCTTAAATGTCGAGCTCTGGATGGCGCAACAAAGGGGTATTGGATCATAACATTAATCCTCTGGGTACTTTGAATGTCCGTACAAAATGCCATTACAATTCCATTACAATCCAAAGTTGCGCTATCCATTTAAGTATTGATTACCATGTTTGGCTCAGAACACTTTACCAACACAGCTGTGAAAACACAATAGTTTCTGATGCAGTGGGACATCAAGTCAGTGGGACATTTTGCAAAACAAAATGATACACAGGGGATAGTTTGACAGTGTCACATTTGAGCGGTAAAAGTCAGACTTCCAAATACACTCAAGGGGCTGAAGGATCAGGTCATCCTTCTCAGAGGTGACATTAGGAGCAAACACACTGATTGAAGCTGGTTCGTTTGATTGCCAGTTTTTTGATTGCTGAAATTTGTATATCATCATTGCAGTGATGTAGACCCATTCATTAAGGTGTAATTCAAACTGTCCTTTAAGACTTCATTTAAAACTGCAATTAATCAAGCAGGGTGTTCTCTTTGACACAAAATGTCAAACAGACACAGTGTGTCAAAGCGTCTGATTGGAGAAGACAACCAGGGAGTAAAAACAGACTTTTCAAACTGCTCAACATGAGCACCAGCAAATTGGCTGGAAATTAAAACTAATGAGCAATTACCCCACCAGTGAACCTCTATTAATGTCTGTTTTCTCAATGCTCTCCAACTGAATCCTAATTTCAATTTATTTAATCTCTCCGATAAACATGACACTTGTTTTTAGTTCCTTAATCTTTCATCGTGTTCACTGTGAGCCACAGAGGCTGGCTTTTGCATTCTGATGTGCATCCAAGAAAACAGCTCATAATCTCTGAGCTCCCACTGAAAGACTGTGAATACAGAGTACACAGGCAAACATATTCTCCCGTGATCAAAACATGGCAACCGCTATTGGTTCAGTTCATTTGTACAACCATAAACACCTTATTTGCATGCAGCTGCTATTATGAACCTGCTGCCCATATTTCTGCCATGTGGAAGCAGTTTATCCTTCAGAAACAGAAGAGCTGCACTCTGCGTGAACCGAGGGCTCATTTTTCTGATTAAAATCTGGTACCCCACACCAATGTAACTGCACGTATAAAAAGACCCTTCAGACGCAGGACAAGAATGAGTTAACACGGTGTGTTCCACATAGAGAAATATCCAACAATATAAAAAAAACAACTTTGGTAGAACCAAGTATTAGCATTTGTGCACTGACAATAGAATACAATCTAAAAGCAATAAACAGTGAGGTGAACTGAAGGTTGCCTTTTAGTTTTGGATCGGGCATCGTTGAGAGGGTATTGAAATTTAGAATTACAGGTTCATAGATTTACAGTGATTTTCTCTCTGACAGACTCACCGGAATGTTCAGCTAGCAGGGATTATTGAGGTACATGCAAAGATCCTCTATTGGAAAAACACATTTTACCAAAATGACCGGACATCATGTATACATGTTAACAGATGTGAATATAAGTATGCATGCTTGAGTGAATGCATGAGAACTGTACTTGCATGAAGCGCCCTGTACTCACAATATAGGTGGTCAAAATAGATCACCACCACCACCTTCAGCTAACAGCCAGTAATAACATCCATTTATTATGAACATAAAATATAGCATAACCTTTCTTATCGTCCTTACAGGACACTTCTGAATGGATTTCCACTCAATGGGCCGCACAAGGTGCTTGGAAAAGGTTCAATCTGGGTGTTGCTCTTCACCACAGTTCTGCATGAGATAACAAAATGGCAGAAAATCATCCTATTAAGCTCTTTGAGTCTGAGTGAATCTGCTCTTCATACCATCATTCCTGCCTCTCTGCTGTGGTAAAGCTCAGTCGTCTGTGTAGAAAGTTTGCGGTATTTTTAGGCCCAGAGTTTTGGAACATCCACAGGCACTGTTATGAGGGGCAGCGCAGCAAGTTAAAGTAAAGCACAGTCCACATATTTACGTGGTAATCATGTAAATTTAAGCTTTTATCACTCGCCTAAAAATGTATCTCTATGCAACAGAAGTGATACTCATTTTTCAGATATTTTTTTCTCTTGTTAATGCTGTACACTTTACACTAAGAAGCTAGTGCTCACTCATCAAGTACTCCAACACTTATTAATACAGAATTATTACAACTAATCTGTCATAGTTCATATCAACAAATAAAGTCAAATAGTTCCTGACATGTTTACATTCCCCAAACAAATTGATGCTACAAAGGAGACGAGCTGTTAAAACTGTTAAAGTGTTGTCTACAGTGCTGTGACAGATTCAATTTATTATCTGTTTAACTTCCTTCAATTACAAGATATTAAAAAGCCCCCTATGTGGCAAGCTTTATATGTGACTGTTACATAGACCGATGCTGCCCCCTAGTGTCAGAAAGAGAACAAGAAGTAATTAAATGCAAGTCACAGCCTGTTACCACCAGAGCTATTCATTGTAATATAATGCTAAAGTTTTTAGTGGTCCTCAAGCTGGAGGTCAAAGTACAGGTTAAACACAAACTACTGAAAAAATAAGAATTAATTTTGAATCTTTTCTGATTTAAAATCTGCCCAAGAACCACACTCCTGAAGCTTTCACTGTCTTTTCACTGAGTTTTACATCAAGGCAGATCTTTACATCATTTCATGAACGAGGCCAACTGACCCAGTAGTTGTTCGAGTTTTTCTAGTATAACATCAAAAGCAAGGTGTAAATTGTTTTTTGATCTGAACACTACAAAAATAATAAAAGGGTGATGTCATAGTGTGTCAGTCTGCTGAAAAAAGGTGGACATGTATGGAATGTGAGGCCAAAAAAGAAGATAACCACATAGCATAAGATTTTTAAAGATCTATCAATGAAGTGTAAACAACATTCTTTTTTTTACAATTTACTTCCATGAAGCCAGGGCAATCACAATAAACAGATTAAAAGAAGAACAGGACAAACTGAAGAAACAGGTGTTAAGAATTCCTGATCCTTTTACTTTTAAAATTCCATTTTGCAGTGCAGGCTTTCTGGTTTTTCCTCTTTTCTAGATTGTTTTTTATCTCAAGCCTAAATTAAGACATCTTGATGATGTAATCTCCTGATGATGTCATCACGGTTAGATTTTTAGACTTTAGGAAGCCCATTAAAAGAAAGAGCGAACACAATAGTTTGTGAAATTGCTGACGTGGCATCAGGTTAAAGTAAATATCAACTTTCAACAAACATAAAAAGTATTTTATTAGAATAAAATGTGCCATATATAAAAGGCTTGACTCTGAGTTAATAAGAAATATTACATTTGAATTGTAGCCCGTGTGTGAATAAACCACACAACAAGAAGAGTCTTTACACATTCTCAACATTTTAAATACCTCTTTGTTGACACAACTGTTGATCACAGAGGATGTGGTCTGGGACTGGGACAAAACAGTTTTGACTCAAATTCAGACAGACTCACTGTGCTGTACATAAAGCTGCAGAATGAGGATGCAATATAGAGTAGAGAAACAACTAGAGGTGACCAGGACTGCATCCCTATTTTAAGACAGCAATACATTCAGACTGGATGTATGAACAGAAAGGTCAAAGGTGACAATACTGCAGGAAGTCCTTCACCTTAAATATCAATGGACACCCAACAACGAGTCACTTTCTCGAGGTACCATGTTTAATGTACAGTCCAATGGAAGAGTAATGTTTGAAAAAATGATTTATATACACCACAAAGTTTATTATTTAAGCATTATACTTAATGTAGAAAAATACATTAAAAAACTGTAAAGGATTCAAATTAGATGCTAAATGTATTTAGCATTTAATGCTACATTCATGATTATAAAAGCACAGGGCAATTTGCTCCACTAAGAAGAAAATCTGATGGTTTTATTCTTATGTAGTAGACAAAAAAATCTCAAACAAAGGCCATTTAAGCATAAGTCACATGTTCAGTGAGTTATAGTGATTTCCTCCTCTTTTGATGATTGTTGTATCCAAGACACAGAGCAGCGCTGCCAGGGGAAGCCTGTGGCGACCCGGTGCAGGAGCTGCAGGATGCCTGGTCCACCCTGTAGGAGATGGAGCTGTAAAAGACAGGGTTACTGTGGCCGCCCTCCTCGTCACAGTGAGCCTGGATGGGGCTGTTGTCAATGTCAGAGTCACAGCACATGCAACAGGAGTAAAAGAATCTGAGTCTGCTGGGTTCAGAGAGCTCAGCGTGCTCAGATAAAACAAGTCTTTGCTCCTTCATAGGAGATGGAAGGAGATTCATGCAGCTGCTGCCTCCCTCCATGGGAAGACTCATGTTATTCAGGCTGCTATGTCCATCTTTGCTGCCTCTATATCCAATGTCAGCCGTTTCTGCTTCAGCCACAGCCACCTCTTTATCGACATGTGTGTCCTCAGGCTGTGTTCCCTGCACCTGCCCCGCTGCCTCAGGTTTTACATCAGGTTCTTCAGTGCTCACAGTAAGAAACCTCAGGACCACCAGGTTCAAAAACGCTCCCATGACCGTCAGTCCAACCAAAATGTACATGAAGCTAAAGGCCACATAGGGGGGTCGCTTCTGGAGAGCATCTTTCTTCTGCAAGGCAACAAAATCGCCAAAGCCAATGGTGGTGAGTGTAATGAAGCAGTAGTAGTAGGCGTTGAAGAAAGTCCAGTCCTCAAAGTGGGAAAAAGCTGCAGCTCCAATGCACAGGGTGCTCGCGCATGACAGCAGACCCACCAGGACCATGTTTCCCATCGACACCTCTGTAACCTGTAAGCCCAGGCCCTGCTTGGCTCTGCTCAGTAGGTAGCGAACGAAAGTGTTGATTCTCTCGCCCAAACTCTGGAACATGACGAGTGTCAGAGGAATGCCTAAGACAGCGTAGAACATACAGAAAGTCTTGCCGGCATCAGTGCGTGGAGCAGCGTGGCCGTAACCTACAAAGCCACAGTACATCACAAGTCACAAAATGTCAAGGACTTCTGCTTCATGTTCGTCAAGGTTACAACTGGTCTGCTCACTGCAAGTCTCAACTCTTGTTCTGAGAGGCAATATTTAGGTCTCAAACACTTCTTAGAACAAAGGAATTATGCATTTAACTGAAGTATAGTTGTTCCCATTGTTAGATTTGCACAAATTCACATTTTGATATCATTCATTAGGTTTTCATATGGCTCTGTACAATGGGAAAGTGATCACAGTGACAAAATAATGGGACTAAAAATGAAATTGTGCAGAGCTTCTCCTTTGGTCCATTGTTTTGAGATAATATTTCAAAAGACTGGGAGAAGCTACTATAACTAGTACATCGTGTATTCAGTGAATAAAGTCGAAAAGGTGGATGTTTTGCCACTTAAAGGCAAAAAGGTATTAATGCAGCTTTTTAAGACAAATGTAAAGTGAGTAGATAAGATAACATTTTAACATAGCACCCAAATAGACAGCATATTGCACAACGTAACTGTAAGACAACAGAGTAAAGTCCATCTTTTTAATGTAAAGCCCTTTCCCTTTTATTATAGCTCACGACACAAACGCTGCTTTTACTATATGCTGCAAACGTTAACCCTTAATCTGTAATGTACGTAAACTTTAAGGAGAAAGTTTTACAATCCTGCAAAATATTTCCTGCCCTCCAAAAAAAGATGATGCACTACTCTGATCTCTATCCATGCTTACTTTTTGTTCAGGTAATATTTAAGTCAAACTATTAGGCTTACATTATGCTGAATGTCTCAATCCTCCATCAAGACTCTGACACATCAACACTGGAAAGATGTTTGCAGAAACCCTGGCACAGATGCCTGCTACAATGTTTGATAGTGTGGATTCATATGAAAACAGAATTTTACATATTTTGAATTAACAGCTCGTGCGATATGCATATAAATATGGATAAAGCAGGAAAATGTATTATACTGCATAAGACGTGTTGTGAAATGTTCTAAATGTTTTTATTGTTGTCCATGTTTTCAGTGTGTTGAATGGACATGTTTGATCGTTGTCAAGCACAGTAGCAACTCTAGGATTCAAAAAGACAATTTTAAATTTAAATCAAGACTTAAAGTTTACTTTTACCAAATGGGAGCACGATGTTTTACTATTAATTGCCTTTTCTTTCGTTCTTTTGGCTGTAAAATCATTTGAAGTTGCGAAATGTAAAATGTCATTGCTAAAAGTCTTAAAGTCTTAAAGTTTGGTTCGAGAATTAGGTCAATGCATATTGAACCTCCACCTGTTCCACCTACAGTGCCCCCCAATGTTTGGGCCCATGCGTCACCCACTTGGTGACGCATCAACTGTGGCGTGTCCGTGTTGTTTCAGAGCAGCAGGTGAGATGGAATAGGTCTTGTAGCTACTTGCCGATTGTGGTGATCACAGTAATGGCAAAATAGAAAGATCCGGCGAACTTCCACTGCCTCCCGGCTCGGTGCGGCTCGGAGAGAAGGACCACTCTCTCGACCTCTTTGTAATCGTCGTCCGTGAATCCGTACTTTTTCTTCAGCTCGTTGAGCTTCTGCTCCAGCGCCTTCTTCTTTGAACTCTCACTGTCCGACTCCAGAGCGTCAAAGACGGCGGCCCCAATGAGCAGGTAAAAAACCATGGAGAGGATCAAAGAGAGGGTCCTGATGTTCTGTGTCTCATCCTCAAAGTACGGAGAGCGCGCGAGGCGGAGAGATGGGTGCTGTCGGTTAGAGGGACGCACGAGGACCCCGGTGTGTGCCCATGAACTCGATTAATCTGCAGCCACCTAACGTGCTAACTGGGGCCCCTTTAGACAGCTGGAATAACGCCCATGTGAGGATTGTTGAAACTGTAGCCTGTTCTGTTAGCGCGTCATCATTTGAAAGCACAACACCTACAAGTTACCTGAGCTGCAACTGGCATTGACTTTCCACAGTTTAGTCTACTTAGGTGCGCATGTGACCTCGTTAACCTACTATGCATGTTTGAATGTGACATCTTAGTCTGTTTACAGCTTGCACTTGATTAAAAGTCCCCCCGATATTTGCTTAATTTCTCAGCCTCCAGGGCCAATGTTGACGCTCCAAAAACTGCCGTTCCTCAACTGGCCGTAGCCTGGGACAAAAAACAAGGAAAGGTCTCTAAACTTATAATAGCTATAATTTCTCTGTTATGAATAACTAGATGTCTTATTATTTCCTCAACAAAGCAGAGCTTCATATGATCACATTCCACTATTCAATATCTTGAATATCTTGTACCTTATCCAGAAATCTTGGCATTTTCTTGGCATTGAAATTTGACCTTCATGTCAAAAAATTGCATCAGTCCTGCTTTGTGAAACATTGCAAAAATAGCACAATTTCTTTCGGCTCCTGAATTTAATCATATCATTCATGCATCCACTCACGGGCTTGACTTTTTTTGATTCACTATTTTACCTGCCTCAGTGAGTCTGCCCTGTCACACCTTCCATTTGTACAAATCCTGCACTCAAAGCCTCCGAGACTTTTTTGCAACATCTTCAGTCTTTAAACTTTTGTGTTTTGATAGGCTACACTAATATTTTAAGAACTTTTCAAAGAGAGAGATATAATTATTAGAATAAATAACTGAATATTTTTGTGGACAGTGGATATATTATTTTTCTGGATGGACTACCCTTTATAACGATTACAGTAATAGCCTATATGTTGTTAAGTTAAAAAAACATCTAATTACATCTTCTCTTGTGTATGTATGTTGTTTATGTGCATGTGTATGGATGCACAGGCATGCACATGCTGATATAAGAGGATTAATCAATCAATCTTTATTTGTATAGCGCCCATTCATAACGAATGTTATCTGTAGACGCTTTACAAAAGAGCAGATAAAAACCTCAATCTTTGTTATGTTCAAAGAGATCTAGTCTTGATAACCTATTAAGAGCTTATTTGCAAAAGCAGATAACTCTGTTTTAAACATTTTCATAAAACTGTTTTACTTGTTTATTTCAGGTAATATCACTCAGACTAAAGCTGTGTGGCTTCTAGACCACTCTTACTGAGGGGGCCAAACGGGGGCCAGTTGTTTTGTCAGAGGAGAACATTAAACCCAGGGGAAAAATAGACAAAGATGATCGCTTTAAAAAATATACATATATATTATGCCAAATAATAGCGCACATCATTAAATACCACAAAATAAAACACCATAATATATATTTGTTTCAGTAACAGTATTTAATACTTAGATTGTGAGTCTGGTTGTTGAGTCAAATACTGTGTACTGTATGTGTTATTAGGGGGGTTCTTCCTTTTGGAGGGGTGGCCACAGGGGGGGACCAAGCTCAGTGTTACAGGGCCCCTGCCTAGAACCGCCCATGTGGCTTTGACTTAGTCTAGGCTGTATTTGGTTTTTGCACCAGAACAGATTTTGGATCAGAGGACAGCTCTATTTAAAGTGCTTAATAAAAAACTTTCAGGGCACTTTTTTCCAGAGTAGTGTTCATCTGTTTCTGCAAATGAACTCGTCATATTCTTGGCATTTTGTCTTGATACCACTAGCACAAAGCCCTTCAGTATTTCTACATTTAATGATTGGTTCAAGGCAGAAAAAATCGAAATGAGGAATTTTGAAAAGCAAAGCTGGGTATCGGAAACTGAAAAGTTTAAAAGCCTCCGACTCCAAGTGTGTGGTGTAATTTTGGAGCCTAAGGCCACTGCAAAATGAAACACATTGGTTCTTTTAAACCATCAGTTTCTGTTCCTCAACTTTTTAAACATCATGTGAAGTGTTTATGCACCCAACTTCTAGGACTGACTCTCCTGGCGGTTAATCACTCAACCATGTGTTTGGAGAGGGCTGAGATACACAAGTGTGCTTCTCTGTGTGTGTGTTGTGTCTGTGGCAGCCACAGAGAAGCGCAGCAGAAACAGCTGGCCTTTCCAGACTCTACTCTCTTGATTATTTTGCCCTGTGAAGCGTTCATGTGCGGAGTATTCACAATACGCTCAGCTAAAGTATTACTCTGAGCGATGAAGCATTAGCCGCTGGCAGTGCTGACCTTTATCAAGCGCACTTAGTCGCTGAGTGATCCAGCAGGCCTTCGTCATTAACTAAGTTCAATACGCAGAGTGAGCAGGAGAGAGAGACGGCACACATGATTGGTGTGTATCAGTGCAGCAGCTCAGAGGGCCGCTTCATGGAGCCTCTCTGTGGTTTCACTGGCATCTGCTGGGCTTTTGCTCAGTGTCATGCTAATTGGGTTCACAGCAGTGCAACCAGAAAATAAGCTGTCTGCTGCAGTTCCATGCTGCAAGTTATTTCTGTTTTATATCCTGCATGAAGTTTTCATCTATTTCAGGGATGGAGGGGGGGGGGGGGCAATTTGTGGGGCCTATTCATGCACTAAACCAGGCCATAAAGAGCCTGAGATCTGTCATTAGGGCCTCATTTATTGCCTCCCTACCATATAGGACATGTGGCCATCTCCAAGCTGTGTTTTTATCTTTCAGGAAAAGCAAAGAACCTTATCCCGCCTTAGTAAGCACATGAATCTATTGCTGAGCAGATGTTAACAGTCTTGATTCTCTCCACTGGCACTGAGAGCACTTATCTGCTTTTGAGAGGAGTCCCTGAGAGATAATTGGCTCACCAGGGTCCCCTCAATGAGAGAACACAGAGGATACGTCACTATCATTCAACATCAAAGCCTTTTGTAGATTTGCTATCATTTGTAGAGTAAAATAGCCTACAGAAGAAGAGAGTGACAAATAGCTATTGTGGAACCACTGCCAAGGACAAGTGACTTTTTAAAATGAGGATCCTTTGGTTTAACAACTCTCTAGCCATGAAATAAAGCTGCTGCATTATCCGCTTTACTCATCCCATATCTCCCTCTGCTCTACAGGTCGGCTCATGCATCCCTTTATCTTGAACAGGAAGACATTAAGAGCAGGATGTGCACCGACTGGAGTCGAGACACTCATCTGTCCAAGTGCCATCCCCAAAGAAGAGGAAATATTCTGCAAATAGGATGCTATCTTCTCTCTGATAACAGCAGGTGACAACAGAGAGGATGGCGTCATTTTGATGATCCTTTAGTGCAAATACAGTGCATTTTGTGTCAGGCCAAAGTCTTTTCGAAGCCTGTTTAATAATTAACAGTATGAATCTAGTGGAACTTAAAATGAATAGTGACAATAATGGAAAAGGCAGCTTAACTGAACGGGCCTTCGGGCGTGATAAGTCAGAGGGCAGGGAGGGCTTCATAGTTTAAGATATCTGTGTGGAGGAAATGAAAAGAAGTTTATTTATTTATCTATTTTTTACAAAATGGAACACTTTTCTGAAACAACAGTAAAAGGCAGCTGACTGCAATTCAAGTAAGTGTGTTGCTTTCTGTTCAAGATCACAGAGTTAAAAAATAAAATCTGTCCACGCTTTGGCACCGAGGTTATTTCATGAGGCTCTGCTTGTCAACAGGCAAGACAGGCAACTGCTTGGCTCACAAACTTAAACCAAAGCAGTAAGCTCAAAATGTACATTTTTTGCAAAGACAGTAGGAAACCTCCCTTAGGGGGCATCGTCTGACGGCACTCACTCTCTTTGCCTGAAAGAGGAAGAGGAGTAAATTGACGCTCCAGATGGTGATAAACGTGGGTTGGAGGGCCTTCAATTGATATTTGCCTATTGGGCCCCAAGAGAGTCTAGAATCACCACTAGGCCTCATCAGAAAAGGTATTTTTCGCCCGACATCTCTCTGCTCCTGCGAGAGGGTGCATTCACTAGCAGCTGAACCTTACGACAGTCTATGAGCTGTAGCAGGAAAGAGGTCAAGGGGAGATCCTCACGCTGTGTCATGGATCACGTAGGCCTATCTCTCGACCTGATAAACATTTAAACAAATGTATTTGGGCCAGGCTGTGAGCAAGGAGAATAGTTATTTTGAAAAGGGCACTTTCTCTGTCGAGGGCGAACAAGGTTCAGTTAGGCTATTTCTTATGTGACAACTGTGTCCATTTTGTGTGTAAAACTGTCTTTGAGTTTTTATGTATGCTGTTCTGTAGTCTGGCCTGTAAGGTGTCTTGAGGTGATAGTAAAAAATGTTTTTTGTTAGTAGGCTGTTGGATGAAATTTTGCTTTTGTAATTTTGGAACATTTACATAGCCTTGATTATATTTGCAGATATATGCCTACTGATGATTAATGTGCACTGTCCTAATTCAATAAAGAAAGAAGAAAGGGCAGGTGCTCAAGCCCCTATTTTGCATAGTATGTGTGCTCATGCCTGAGGTTTCTTCTTTTTTTTTTTTTTTTTAAGTTTCCATTTCCCGTCAAGTCAGCGAGGAGAAGTTTAGAAAGAGAAAGTGAAACAGACCTACTCACGAAGCCTACGACAGGCTGCGTTAAGAGCAGATCACATCGCCTCGGTCTGAGAAGTGTTTCTCAGGATGTCCCGGGTTAACTTTAGCCGCCTCTGTCGTCTTATTGCATGGTTAAAGCACAACGTGTGGCACATCGCGTGTTTCTCACTGCGCTGTCTCTTTGCAATCCATCGTGCGATCGTCGGGTCCTCTACTGTGAATAAACGATGGTCTAAAGTCCGCGGAAGCACCAGAGACGAGCCTGGAACAAGCAAGAAACTGTCGGAGCCAGTTATAGAGGAGGGGGTCGAAGCGACATCTGACCATGAGTCTGAAAATGAAGCTGTCGCCGGGGGGGAGAGGCCCGCAGAGCCAGAGCCAGAGCCAGAGCCCAGCTCCGAGCAGCCCGAGTATAGTGGAT